TCGTAGTTGAGGTTAAATGGGCGAAAGGTTGTGCAAAAGAGAACGGCGCACCTGCCGCCCACAACGATAGAATCCTATGTACTGCACCTTTCGGCCGTCATCGGTTGCTCTTGTCTCAACGGATGCTGACTCACTTGCGACCTGGTAGTTGAGGGCAAATGGACCCACTTCCCTTTGTAAGGAACCCGGGTCGGTAGGTGCGTTGTCTTCTGACGTGCAAAGGGAAGGTTGTGCAGAATAGAACGGCGCACCTGCCGACCACAACGATGCAATCCTATTTACTGCACCTTTCGTCCGTCATCGCTAGGTCCCGTCTCAACGAATGCTGACTCACCTGCGAAGAGGTAGTTGACGGCAAATGGGTCCACTTCCCTTTACAAGGAACCCAGGTCGGCAGGTGCGCTGTCTTTTGACGTGCAAGCGAAAGGTAGTGCATAAGAGAACGGCGCACCTGCCGACCACTACAATATAATCCTAGTCACTGCGCACCGGACCGTCATATATTGGTTATGGCTCAACGGATGGTGACTCGCTTGCAACCTTGTAGTTGGGGTTAATAGACCCGCTTCCCTTTGCCTGTATCGCGGGTTGGCAGGTGCGCTGTCTTTTGACGTGCAAGCGAAAGGTTGTGCAAAAGAGAACAGCGCACCTGCTGACCACTACGACATAATCCTGTTTACTGCACCTTTCGCCTCATAAAACTTGTTGGCATCCTTCATGTCACACATCGATTGCAAACGACCTATTTCTGTATGTCCTCTAATATAAAGAGAAAAAAAAATTAAAAAATAAAAATAAAAATAGAGAATGTATATTCTCACCAACGATAACCTGCAATTGCATACCCCCTCCCGTTCACGGCAAGGAGAACCACACACAAAAGAGACATTACTTGTGAAGAATTCAATAAAAGCAATTCGAACAAAATTCGAAGGGTGCCGGGGAGACCACCTCCAACACTTTGAGATGACCTGACATACATCCTTTGCTGTACTGAAGCATGAACACTTACGATAAGGACAATGCTACATAATAGTATTGCAGCGGAAATAGAAAGTGTTCGGCATTTCATCGACTGCCAATTCACAGAACCGAAAATCCGATTTCTACATTTATGGCCTGAAGTCGTACTGAATTTTACAAGCAGCGATGCACCAATGTCACACTGACCAAGATTCATAACACTGAATCCAAGTGATGATGATAGCGATGGACATAACATTTCGTGTCATGAGTATCCACATTCTATCCGACCACGGCGGTCCGCGGCCAAATACTGCCTACCCTGCTACATTCTACTTCTACGTGGGCATTGCAACTCCATGGTTTCAGCAGCCATCGAAGTACTCGAATATTATCACCATTGCCAATACCCGGGACGAGCCCTGAGTTCACAATAACCATCTCTTCACCTTATCCCTCCTCTTCACGTCCCTTACAGTCCCGTCGATATATGCGAACACCCACTCTGGTTCCATTCTTGTTCCTACCACCACCCAGCTGTGTGTTAGCACCTKCACTTAAACCACCAGTACATCCACGCCTATGAGGTTTAAGGAGTATCCTACTTTCAGAAGTGTCAGGAGGTTGGGCCTACCGCTCATAAAAGGGATCGGCGGCATCAGTGTGCTACAGGCCTGCCGACTTTGTAGAGCCTTTTCGGTGACAGTCCTTGCAGATGTAGTGGTGCTTCAAGATACTTCCGATGGAAAAAAAAAAAAAAAAAAAAATATTATTAAAACACGAAACAAGATAACAACCACAAAGCCCTGTCTGCGTGTGTGTCTGTTTGCCTCTCTGTCTGTCTGTGCGTGTCCCTGTCTGTCTGTCTCTGCATGTCCCTGTTTGTCTGTCTGTGTGTGTCCCTGTCTGTCTGTCTGTCTGTCTCTCTCTCTCTCTCTC